TGTCTTTGTGTATACCGTATACTATGGTGATGATTATATGTATGTAGCCATATGCATGTAGTTTGGTGATCTTAGTACACCCACTTTACAGATATTTTGATTACTGTAAATAATTGATATCAATATCGCTTTCAACAACAAGGTATCAGATTTCTCAATAACGTTATGCATAATACTTCTCAAGCATTAGAAACAAATATCTGTGAATCTGTCATTGAAAAATATATTAATTGATAAGTCTGAAATCTGTTTCACTTCCTCCGTCTTTCTATCTCTTTTTCTCTCTCTCACTTCCTCCGTTTCGCTACTCACTCACTCTCTCTCTCTCTCTCTCTCTCTCTCTCTCTCTCTCTCTCTCTCTCTCTCTCTCTCTCTCTCTCTCTCTCTCTCTCTCTCTCTCTCTCTCGCCCTCCCACCCTTCCCTTCCCTCCCTTCCCTTCCCTTCCCTCTTCACTCCCTTCCCCTCCCCCTCCGCCCTCCCTCCCAACCTCCCCCCCTATTCCCCCCTCCACCCCACCTCTCTCCCTCTCCCTCTCCCTCTCCCTCTCCCTCTCCCTCTCCCTCTCCCTGCCCTCCCTCCCTCCCTCCCTCCCTCCCTCCCCCCTCCTTCTCGCAACACCACACAATCCAGCCTGAACAGCGGACTTTCCCCACCCTATGTAACAGCCTTCCTCCACCTCCTCCTCCCGCCCACAGCCATGTACGTGTTGTTCCCCTTCCTGACGATCCACGCGAGGTCCCTGGGCGTCTCGGAGAAGGAGCTGTCTCTCCTCAACGCCTTCAACCCCGTCATCGCCCTCTTCGGCCCGCCCATCATCGGCATCTTAGCGGACAGGATCGGGAATTTCAAGGCGAGGTCATGGCTTAGGGAAAGGAGGGAAGGAGGGATGGGAGGGAAGGTGGGAGGGGGAGGAGGGAAGGAGGGAGGGAGAGAGTGAGTGAGTGAGTGAGGGATTGAGGGAGGGAGAGAAGGAGGGAGAGAAGGAGGGAATGAGGGAATGAGAGAGAGAGAGAGAGAGAGAGAGAGAGAGAGAGAGAGAGAGAGAGAGAGAGAGAGAGAGAGAGAGAGAGAGAGAGAGAGAGAGATTATGATTAGATATATAGATAGAAAGATATATAGTTAACGAGAGAGAAAAACAGAGTAAAAGAGAAACATAAAATTACCTCAAAGAGAGACATAAAATGACCTCAAATCCGCATGGAAGCATAAATATCAAACCTGCAAGACTGATATTTAAGCATGATTTTATACTTCCTAAATGCTTCCTGCGGTCACCTCTGTTTGGTATCGATGTTGATGATGTTGCAGATGCAGTGTTCGGGGAAGAGCACTGTCTCTGGATGACTAGCTAGTACTGAGACATTTACCCAAGACCTGTTTGTATTTTTCTCCTTCTCTCTTTTTATTTCTCTTCATTTCTATTTTTCTCTTTCTCTCTTTCTTGATTTCTATTTTCTCTTTCTCGTTTTTTCTTTCTCATTCTCTTTTCCCTTCTCCTTCTCTTGTTCTTTCTCTTTCTCTTTCTCTTTCTCCTTCTCATTCTCTTTCTCTTTCTCTTTCTCTTTCATTCTCTCTCTCTCTCTCTCTCTCTCTCTCTCTCTCTCTCTCTCTCTCTCTCTCTCTCTCTCTCTCTCTCTCTCTCTCTCCGTCTCCCTCCTTCCCTCCCTCCCTCCCTCCCTCCCCCTCCCTTGCTCCCTCCCTCTCTCCCTTTATCTCTCTTTACCTCTCCGACCTTCCTCCTTTTCCCTCCCTCTATCCATCTATCTACCTACTTACCTACCTACCTATCTATCTGTCTGTCAAACTACTTACCCATCTATCCGATCTCCCTCCCTCCATCTGATCGTCCTTTCTCAGTGAGGCATCGTCGGTGCTGACTCGTCTCTTCTCCCGCAGGTGTTTTTAAGCGGGATGACGGCGCTGGGCGGACTGTCGGCATTGCTCTATCTGGCCATCCCTGCGGCTCGCCAGAAGGTCCCTTTGCCTGAGTCCGTGACCTTTGACCTCGTCTGTAGTGTCGGTGACCTCCGCAGCCTGGGCCTCCAAGCTCCAGCTGAGTGTGACTTCATTCAGGATCTCAAGGAGTTCAATGTTACTTTCACGAACTGTACTGAGTGTGAGGTTTTCAGGTATGTTGGTGTGTGCGTGTGTGTGTGTGTTTGTGTGTGTGTGTGTGTGTGTGTGTGTGTGTGTGTGTGTGTGTGTGTGTGTGTGTGTGTGTGTGTGTGTGTGTGTGTGTGTGTGTGTGTGTGTTTGTGTGTGTGTGTTTGTGTGTGTGTGTGTGTGTGTGTGTGTGTGTGTGTGTGTGTGTGTGTGTGTGTGTGTGTGTGTGTGTGTGTGTTTGTGTGTGTGTGTTTGTGTGTGTGTGTGTGTGTGTGTGTGTGTGTGTGTGTGTGTGTGTGTGTGTGTGTGTGCGTGTGTGTGTGTGTGTGTGTGTGTGTGTGTGTGTGTGTGTGTGTGTGTGTGTGTGTAAGAATGATTGTATAGTGTTGATATATG